TGATATATCGCTGTAGATATGAATTTAGAGTGCATATTTGAGACTCCTGAACAGTAAACAAAAACGCAGTTTATGGGTTGAATGTTTTTGGGCTTTGTGATTTTGTTGAGTATTACCTGTCTATATCAAGTTGCAGCTCAGTTGATTTTAGATTGATGTCAACCTGCATCCTGAATATCAACTCCCTGGGTTTTGCGAGCCCTACGCTGTTCGTTCTTTTTAATAAACCACACATTAAGCTTCCCAATGGTGTGGTCTGTTTGTGGAAAAAGTGCAAATGCAGTGTTTGAATATGATTACCTCACATATTTTTTGTTGTTGTCATATTTAGTGATAGATTGCTCCTGCTGACTTGAGCCAACCATTTTCCTCCTCTCCGTGTCCGAGGGGAAACCGAACATTCATTCTTTCTCCGAGCAACTGGAGCATCCCCATGCAGCACAGTAAACAATATGGCGGAGACTATATGCAAGGACAGCACGAAGGAAGGGGCAGACAAACTGCTTGACATGCTGTTCATGTTTCTGAGTTTATTAGAGATTTACTAAATGAATTCATGACAATCATTGATCGTCACCTGTGTCCTGTAAGGTAACGTTAGCTGAAAATATGTCAATAAGGCAGGCAACGTAGCTGTTCACAGTACTGAATTTGACTTTTTAAAAAACATATTGATGTAACTACATACACATGTGGGTGTGCTATATAAATATTGAAAATCGATGCATTTATTGACCACAAATGACCAGTAATTGCAGTTCTTTCTCTCTGTATTAACGCATCGGGGTTTATTTCCTTATTATTTTAAGACATATCCTGTCACTATTGATGATATCCTGAAATATTTTGTCCTCGCCAAATAGATTAAAATCTGAAAGTTTTAATGTTAGCGAACGAATGAGTTAAAATGATAATATTTAATGGAACCCTTATTGACAAGGCTAAGGCTGGTATGATTACCATTGTATGGCCGCAGCGTATTGATTAAAGAATGGTAGTAAAACTGGCCTAAATTCTAGGTGTCCAAATTATGCGAAATTAATCCACCCCTGCCAGCCAATCAGAAACGGGGGTGTTATGCCTTGCAGTTATCCACTGGGAGATCTACATAACACAATTTTCCATCTAACTTGTTTTTTCATCATTCGCATGTTTTGTGTCCACATTTAATTCAGTAAGACATACGTAGAATATGGTATATCATTCTTACGTGTATTCAAAATAACATTTGGCATTTGTGTTTATCTCGAACAGTTAAAAATCACTGGTTTGTTTAGGTTATTTGCTTCCGTTTTCCCTGTCTCTGGTCATTTTTGTGCGGGGAGGAAACCGGTTGCTGGGCTTGTCAGAGAAACTGCATCAAAGATGGTAGTCTTGCTGTTACCCTCTGATTTCCTTTGAAAGAACATACATTTTGCATTACAGGGTGAGTTTTAGCATTCTTCATAAAGCATGAAAAAGTCTCCAACACACTCCTACACAACTTGAATAGCAACTACGTTTATGTGTGGAATACAGACATTGCTCTTTATTTTTATAAATTAGAGGAGCAAATGTTGGATTTCTTTTGTTCTTCTTCCTGATGTGACTAACCGCTTTTTCATCAATGCATTCCCCCACCGTAATCACGAAAGTGAAAGTCAAAGCCGAAAGTACACAAATTATTTTTTAATGCATCAAAGAAGACTTTTTTCTCCCTCACATACAATATTCTTTCATAGTTTCAAGGACAATAAAATATAATTTTAATATCGAAAAGGCTACATTTTTAACTTCATTGTATGATATTCCATAAGTCATCGTATTTAATGTATAAAATTCCATTGCAAAATCAATAGCAACTACTATCTTAAATTATTTAATTAAATAATACTAAAATATGCCATATAATTAAAAACAGAATGAACTGTATACAAAACTATTGCATCAGAAGTAAGCTTATACTTGACCCAGGGAAGAGAGCTTATAGCTCTTACATGGTATAATTACATATGCATCTTATAACTTACAGTAGTATACCATAAGAGTAATAACAACCGAGAGCTTTACATTGCTCATTTAGAATACATTGTAGAGTACAATGCCGAAACAATATAAAATGGTTCTTTTTCTAAATAAAATAAGAATTTTTGCAACGACAGTAGCAGCAAGCTGGTAGTGTCATGGAAGAAGTGTAGTCTGTGAATCACTGTTTGGTTCTTTTGGATGCAGGGTGATGGTCAGGAGTGGTTGTGTCCTTTTTGGGGGTGAGGGACACCCTCTGCTTCACTCTTTTACCGATGGTCTCCACCTAGATATGCAGATATCGATGAATATTAGTTACAACACGACATGGAGGACAGCCTTTGGCAAGTTTGCCGTTTCACAGGGAAATAATGATAAACAAGCTCGCGTAGTCGGGGGAGGTGTTGCTGTGCAAGGGACAAGTCCCAGCCTGCGTTTTGAGAACAAAGGGAGGCTCCTAAAGAAACTTGTGTGCGCTAATCACTTTTGCTGTCACACCTTTCCCTGTCCTTTCTCTAGTGGTGGACCCCCTCTCTTCTGGGATTGTAAACAGGGCACTAAACCTCTAAACTGATGTATTGACACCCCTCACTCAGGAGATTCACGCATAATGATGCGGGGAGGGGGGTGGGGCACCAAAAGTCTCACCTGGAAGCCAATGTACTGCAACTGCTCATGGAGGCTGTCCAGAATCCTCCTTCCGTCAAAGATGAATGCAGGCTTCAACATGGCATCATAGATCCTCTTGTAGTCCAGTTCCTGCCAGACACAAAACAGATAAAACACACGTTCTTCATCTCATCTGTTTATAGAAACTAGCACATATTCACCTTTATAGCAATCATGTTTGTTTAATAGCATCCATGTACATTTTTACAACATACACATACACATTTGTAACATGTATGTACAGTTTTACTCAACCCATGTGCACATTTGTATTATACATGTACAATTTTGCAGGATAAATTAACACATACGTTATTTAGCATTTAGCATGAACACCATTAGTACAAATTGACACCTATATAGCATGCTCATACACATCCCCAAACTTCTCTTTGACATTTGAGTAGCTTGGGCCCACCTTGAACATGTCCCACTCTGTGCAGATGACGATGGCATGCGCGTCCTCACAGGCGTCATGGGGATCGGCAGAGATGGTGACGAGCCTAGAGACTGAGGACAGAGAAGGTGCGCCGAAAGCAGAAAACAAGGGGGGGGGGTCATTGGAAGCAAGGTATAGAGAAAATGATTAATGAATAAGGAAGGAAAGAGCAATGACGACAGACATGGAGACATGAAAGGAAGACATTGAGAAATGGAACAGATGCAGAGGGATGGAGAAAGCATGAGAGAAAGAGAAGAGACCGGAATTAGGAGACAAAGATGGAGAGGGTGAGTGTCACACCAGATAATGTTTTTTTTTTTTGGGAAATACATACGAAGAGTGTAAAAGGGGTGCTTAAAACTTTAGGTGGAGGAAAGTGGATAAATCTCAGAATACATTTAGGGACAGGGAGAAATAAAATGTCTCTTCCATGAGATAGATAGGAGCATCAGCTTATTACATTGCCATTTGGAAACTGACAAAGGGTGAATAAGAGTTGTGCTGCGTTTTGTGAGAGACAGTTGAGAAAATGTTTGAAATAAGGCATGTTCAGGTATCCTCATGACTGAAGCAAACTTTCAGGGGAGGTAGACCAAGCGAAAAGAAGCAAGGGGTACCTCTGGAAGGGTCGTCCCCATAAGACAGGTCCTGAACGATCTGCTCCTTCTTCACCTTGGGGTCATAGATGTGCAAGCGGGCACCTTCGTCCATCAGGTACCTGCTGATGTAGATGCTGGAGGACTCTCTGCCATGGAAACAGGGGAAATGGCTCATTGCAAGGAGAAGTGTAATTGGGGAAGTGGTTAAGAGGATGATTGCTTGTAAACTTTAATCCATTTTTCTGCCAGTCTGAAATACTCGTTCACAATCATTCATGCCATACATAAGTCAGAAGACAACCCTTCATGTGCAGCTAGCCAAGGGGTGTGGGGGGGGGGGACTGGAGCATAGAAAGAGATATGGACATCCCAGCTGACTGCATCCCTCCCTCCCTGGTCAACACTAAGGCCAGTTTTATGTTAGGCCCACAGCACTGCTGGCCACAACTGGCACTGACATAGCCTGGATTCAGAAACAGATCATGGAACCCATTCACACAGTGCCTTAACAGGTTGAGCCAATGCTCCAGTAGCAGTTTATTAGTGTATTACCACTACTGACTAGCATGGACATGTGTACGATCTTACACATGTAGCCACAAAAGTAGACTGAAATCAGGAAGGAACCAAGAAGAGTAAGAGAGCGACATATTTCCAAGGGCAGCCCCACCTGGTGTCACCTGTGTCCTTCTTGAAAGCAAATCCCAGAAGGGCGATCTTCTTGTCTGTTACTGTGTTGAAGAGGCAGCCAATGATTCGCGAGGAGAAACGCTTCCGCTGGTAATCGTTGATCTCGATCACCTAGATGGGCAGACAGACGAATGGAAATCTTGAGTCAGATGTTGACTCTTAGAATCCTAAGTGGCCTGCAGCCCTGCAGGGTTTTGCCTAATTGGGTGTAATGTTGATCAAGGAGAGGGGGCTCCAATCGATGGGGATATCCTCACCGCAAACCAATTAGCCGATTAGTACAAATGGGCATTCAAACCCGGAACAAAAACAGTGAGGATACAAACTGGTTAAAAGCGGTTGTTTTGTTCAGGTGAGACACACCTGTTGCCAGTATCTTGCCACCTCACACAGATTCAAAGCTTCACACAGGTAGACCAGGTTGAGGACATCCTTCTGGAAACAGCTGCCCCCGAAGCCTGTAGACAGATACATTACATTATCATCATTTAGCTGACGCTTTTATCCAAAGCGACTTACAGTTGATTATGCTAACCAGGGGCCAATCCTCCCTGGGGTTAAGGGTCTTGCTCAAGGGCCCAACAGCAATGGTGTTCTTGCTGTGGCTGGACTTGAACCACCAACCCCAGGGATCCCAGTCATTTGCCTTAGCCGCTAGACTACAGGCAGCAGAGTATATGTCTACCACAGTGGCATCAGGTTCAAAATACATACAATTTTAGGAAACGTATATAAGCGAATATTGTCTAATAAGACTGACCAAAGTCTACTTACCCACACTGGCCTTGAGGAAGCGGCTCCCGATTCGCTGGTCGGTGCCAATGGCGTGGGCCACCTCCTCTACATCCGCCCCTGTGACCTCACACAACGCACTGATGGAATTGATGCTGCTGATTCGCTGGGCCAGGAAGGCGTTGGCAGCCTGCAGACGGTAGGTTGTGGGCGGGGGGAGAGGGTGGGGGTGTCACAGTAAGTAAGTAGGGGGGAGGGGTGCATGTTGATAGGGGCTGTGATGAATCTTCTCATACAAAATGCCAATGATACCATTTCATATACATTTGGACGCATGTATTTAATGTATAATGATCTGTGGCCTCCAGCTTTTCATTTCAAAAACAAAAACTTGGACCTAAAGAGGTGAGGACACACCAGCTTGGAAAGCTCTGAAGACCAGGTGTTGGTGGTGATGATCTTGCTCTTGGGAACCCAGTGCTCATAGATTCTGTGGAGTGCCTCAATTGCTCTCTGACCCTCAGGTGTCTCGTCCCCTCCAATCAGCACCCGGTCAGGGTTCATCAAGTCAGAGATTGCTGTTCCCTCTGCTAGGAATTCTGGGTTGGAGAGGACCTGGGGCCAAATTAGACAACAGTTGCAGCTCTTCAGAAGGCACCCAAATTAACAAACATTGAGGCAAGCAGGAAAAAAACATGATTCAATCGTCACTTTGAGAGATAAGATCCAACAGAGAATAGTAGCAGAATTCTGGCTGCCTTTAAACCACTGCTAGGCTCATGTGTCCCACCACTGTGGACTCAAAGTCTCAAAGTCTGGCCTCTCACCTGAAAGTTGAGGCTACTCTTGGTGTTCGCGTTAAAGATGCGTCGTATGCTCTCGGCAGCACGAACTGGCACCGTGCTCTTCTCCACCACGATCTTATGTCCGCTGGAGACATCTGCGATTCGCCTAGCACAGGCCTCTATGTATTTCAAATCTGCCGCCCTCCCCTTCCCGATACCAAACGTCTTTGTCGGCGTGTTCACCTGAAACGAGAAGGAAAATTGTCTTCTGCTCTTTGATATGCTTTCGGAAAGAGGCTACAATTTTTCTGGTAATGGAAGAATGAGGTGTAAAAGTACAGGCCCACAGTGTCTGCTGGATTTTGGTTTTTATTTTGTTAGTCAGAGAGATGGATAAGCTGAAGAGATACCGTCCTCCTGTGGCATAACTTTGAAATCAAACCAATAAATTCCACAGACAATCCAGGACTAGAGTTTGACACCCATAGTGTCAGAAATTGGATGTCGAATGAGCAAGTCTGGGCAAGTGTTTGATCATGGCTTTGATGATAAATGGGCTTCTTGGCAGAGCGAAGATTAAACAATGAACGCAACAGATTAAGAGTGATAGAATCAATCACAGTGGCTAATTATATGATTAACTCACTTCACCTGGCCCCGTCGCTCTTCAGAACCAGGGTTAATTACCACAGCTGCGGGGGTGTGACACATTAGGCCGTGGAGACAGCCCAATCGACCAAAGGCAGGCGGGGTGTTAAGTTTACCGATATGAAGATTAGGTCTGCATCCTGGATGGCCTTGTCAATGTCCGTGGAGAAAAAAAGATTGATCCCTCGGCATGACTCCACCACTTCCTGCAGTCCGGGCTGGTAAGGGGACAAACAGGAAGTTTAGGTGAGCATCTTATATCAAACAACTGAGGTCACTCCTGCAGACTTTCATGTTCTGGTTACATTAATTACCTTAAGCCATTGAGGAAAAAAGACATAGGGAGTAGATGCATTCTTAACCAATCAGAACAATACAAACAAAGGGTGTAGGTATGGAATTAGTTTAAGGGCAGGGACTGCGATAGCACACATTTTTTCACAAACACCAAAGAAAAGCAAAAGCAGAAATTGACATTTCCCCAACCACTGACCCCCCTAACACCCAGATACCAGATTATGAGCACAACAGTTGGCTGTGTAAGTACTTTTCAATTAGCACCAGAAAACATCTGCAGGGGAAACTGGTAATTGGTTCTTCTTAAAGAAAGCTACACTTAAGTAATTATGTCCTGAAAGTGAATGAGAGACGGAGCAAAATTCTACATTCCTGGAGTAGCTAGTTCTTGAGAACTCTGTAAAAAGACCAAACAGAAATGCAGATTCTTAAAAACATATTTATATCAGGGTTATTACAATGTGGAATTCCTTAGTTAGACCATAGCAGTCCTGCTTTTTGTTTCAGTCCCCGTAATAAAAGATTGATGGCTATAATACTGAGAAGAGAGGGGCAACAAGACCAGTTCCCAGTCTTAAAATGAAGAGTTAAAATGAAGTCAAGAGAGGCTGAAGAAACTTAATTAGCCTCAGTGGAGAGGATCAAAAAGTGAAAGGAGGGATCCCACTGAGGTATCTAAAATTATGTCAGGGATCAATAAGATAGTCAGCAAAGACCAACATATATGAACCGAAGGTTAACAAGTGTTAGATTTCACAATGAAGTGACAAAGTGTCTACTTGCCGAGGCAATTAAAAATATATTGAAGTCATGACTCTGGGATCCTTCAAGAGCACAAACAGCTCATGCAGATTCTCTATATGTTACAACATATAATGTAATTCAAATGCAAACCGATTGAGCTAAGGTGGGCTGAGGCACTAATTGTGCTTGTCATTATTTTGTATGTCCCTGTAATCAACTATCCATCATTCCTGAAGAAGCGAAATGCACTCAGACCTCATACGCACCTCCCCCACCCGCCTGCAGTGCACTCACCTCAAAGATGGGGAGGTTTTCAGAGTTCCAGGCCCGGATTCGGTCCTCGTTCACGTCCACCACGGTGACCATCACCTCCGGGCACATCTGAGCGATAACACTGCATGTGGGGCCACCTACGTACCCTGCCCCGATACAGCAGATTCTCTTCACCTCCACCATTCTCGACCTGAACAATAAAGACATTAATAATCACAACTACAATGATGGCTCAACACCATCACTAGACCACACGTGCTGCCTTAATCCTGCCGTTCCTGTTCTGTTCTTCCAGTTATCTATGTCTTTTCTCTTAAATCCTGTCTGGATGAAATGCAATATATATACAGGAGGTCCTCGGGTTACGACGGTTTCGTGGTTACGACGCACTCCCATATATTACTTAAAAAACCTAGTTTCGACTTAAGTGGTTTGGTTCGTAAATACAACCACAGCAATAAAGATAAGAAATTGTTCTTTCTTTTTTTTAAACTACTGTTTCATTTAATTACTGTATTTTATATGTCCTTCATGTGTTGTGTGTACAGTGTGAGTGACTTAAGGTGTTAATGTAGGTATAATTAGGACATTTAGATTCCACCCACCTTAAAAAAAATCATGTATGATGATTTGTGATTGACAAGAGGACTAAATAGGAAAGCAACCAACAGATACAACAAATTTAGCAGACAATAGAAGAGTGGCTTCAGCACCAGTGTACTGAATTTCCACTGAATGTTGCAAGTTCCTGTTAGTTGTAACATTATTCACATGTGACCGTGTTGCTAAGTTGTACCGGACTGAGAGATTCCAAACTAAAAAAAAAAATAAAACAATATTTTTGTTACAAAAATGTTGTTTTATTTTACAAACCAGCGAAGAGACACAACAATTTAGAAAAATAACATATTTGGTCTCACTTCCCCATTATGTAAGACTGCAAAGACATAATAATGTACACTGAAATTCCACAAATGATCACAGACATGCTTGGGAACATTTTTTGACGGCGCCGTCTACCCTCTCATACTCTTTGATAGTTGAAAAGTTCTGAAACTGAACGTCGTACAATGAACTGCACATGTTCATGCTGACATACTGTTAGCATAACATCACATATAAGGAAATGTCATTTCTTCAGGCTAACAGTTTTACAGCTTTTTCATGTCTCTCTGTGCTGTGAGGTGACTGACTGACTGACTGACTGACTGATAATAATGAAGGGGGGAGAACAGAGAATGACAAGGTAAGAAGTGCTGAGTACACACAAAGTAAACATGCAAATCATCTCTCTTTAAACTTAAAACGTTTCATGCTTAGGGCATTCTAAGTTAAAACTACACCCTTCTACTTCAGTAACTGTTCCAGTAAGTCTACCTCTGCTTTTCCTGTTTCTCTCTCGCTGTCTCTCTCTTTTTTTTTTTTTTTCACACATGAACACACAGACACACATACACAACTGTCTTTCATCTTCCTCTCACATGACCACGCACTAGTATATTTCTACTAATTTTTGAGGTTTCTCTTTCACTTGCAGAAACACTCTCTCTCTCTCTTTCTCTCTCTCATGCTCACACACACAGCACCTCTTCATCACTCCAGCCCCTCCCTACCCTTGCTGTATGGACACAAAGACTCCTGCTTATTTTTAGCTATCAGGGGAATCCAGAGTGAGTCAACACAAGTGTATAAACACATACATGCACACACAACCATGCTCCTACACTGGTTCTCTCTCTCAAACACAGACACTTGCACACACAGTGTGCACACACAGTGTACACACACACGGTCACGTTGGCGCCTGCACAGGTGTTCAGCTCTCCTCTATCATCAACAAACCAATCTCTCCTTGCCACAGTTTCATTTCCAACACAAGACACTCATTATTCTAACCTTCGTCCCTGTATTAATTTTAAACGGACCCCTGAGATGGGTCTCTCTCAAATAGAGACAGATCTGTTCTCCTAACGGCTGAGGAAAAACAGACAGGTTTGCAAAGCACTGGCAGTTTCCAGAGAACAGCTGATGGGAACAAATTCTACGCCAGCCTGCCAGAACTGATACCTTTCAAGACTAAAGGAATTAGCCTACAGCTCAGCGTCCCCAGATCTGTTCCTGGCTGCTGTTTTTTTTTGTTTTGTTTTCACATCAAAACCAGTTCATAACCTACAACAATAAAAACCAGCAGA